GCTCAGCCTCGATTCCTGGATGGCAAATTATGGCTTAAGATATTATATCAAATAGATTCTAAGAGAAAAAAAAAACCAGTGAAAAGAACATTTTCTGTCCCCTAGCAGAGGGTCAGCCAATTAATCACTGTTATTGTTGACTAAGTAATTTTTTCTTGACAGCTGTGCCCTTCAAAATGACATCAGGGGAAACTGAATCCATTTGCATTACTTCAGCTGGCCAAATCACTGCAGAAAGTTGAAACTAGTTCTGAAAAAAAACAACCAGGCAAACAGGGACATCAGTGAACTTGGAATGACAGAATAAATGGGCTATTCTGAGTACTCAGCAAAGTGTATTTACTGCTCTGTATTTACTGTTTTTCAAAAAATGTTAAGATTATTGTTTATTGGATTTGTTGAGAAGCAATGGAATCTCCTGCAATTTTATTTTTAAATATCATTTTACTACCCAACAGCAATAGTAAATCCATAAAATAACACGATTGACCAGGACTATGGAGTAAAAAAAAATATTGTTTGCTTTGTACATTCTTATTAGTCTTGGCTAAGATGTTATAAAAGCAGTATCTTTTAACACCTTTTATTATACAAGGGTCAAGGGGTTTTTATGTTTCTTAAAGAAAGCTTCAAATAGCCCACATAGCGGGTTCCTGCATCTTTCATATGGCTGCTGTATAAACAAGCCCATTTTACACAGGAAATGACATAACCATGTAAAAGTGTACACGGAGTTTAGGCACATATTCAAACACTAATGGGAATGCATTGTTTTCAATGGCATACTTTTATGTTTACCTATTGAGCTTAGTACCCATATTTTAGCCAAATACAACAAAAATTATCCACACATACCTGTCTTATAGTGTACTGTTTATTTGAAATTTGGACCTTCACAAAGACTCTCATGGGACAGATAATGACCCTAAAAAGTAAATACAAATGAGGCATTCTCAGTGAGAGAGTGAAACCTGCCATCATAAAGGTGGAAAGCTAAACTTTTAACCTGTATTGCTTTACAGCTCAGGTTTCTGCCATCCAGTTGCTCACACCAGCTCACCCACAGGAAGAAGGCCGTAACAATAATTTAGGGTGTCTATCTTTGCACATTATATAATGACCTGGCTAAAGAAAGTAGTGCCAAACTCCTGCAGTCATAGAATCACAGAATCACTCATGTTGGAAAATACTTCCACTAAACCACATCAGCAAATGCCATATCTGCTTCTTTGCTGAACTTCCAGGGATGGGGACTCCACCACTTCCTTGGCCAATGTCAGGTTCCCTGTTTCTCTCCAGTTTCTGTGCTGAGTGCCTTATTCCTGAACCTCTGAGTTTCAAGGGGAATGAAGATTGAGTGAACCCTGCCTGGGTCTTTCTTTTGTGCTCATCCATGCCATTCATGTACCTGGGGAAGTTTCAATGCCTGTTTCTGTCCGCATGAAGATTGCCATGTAAGATCTTGACAAGATTGGCAACAATTTGTGAGAAGACAGAAGTTTGTGCTGGGGATTCCAATGCCTCCAGCAATTGTACCAATAAAGCACCTATAGGCCAGTACACATTTACACTGTGGGCAAAGTCAGTAGAGCATTCCAGAATAAAATAGTGTAGAACTGCAATTTCCAGACTTATCAGACAATTTCACAATGTAAATGCAAAAGGACACTCTGGATATCACAATACTGGTTTTATAACTAATGACATAAACCAAGAATGCTCAAATTTAGACCTAAAAGTGAAAAAAACCCAACTTATTCCTATGCTCACAATTATAAATTCATCACTTTTAGCCGAACCAAACAGACCAGGGCTCTCCCTTCTGGATGTCATCACATTTGAGAGACCAGCCAAACAAACTGAACGTCATGTTACCTCCTAACCTGGACACTTGGGCTTAAATTGCTTCTGTTTTGGCCAAAGCCATTTTTGAAGTAGTAATAATCCATTATGATTCCAGCATTTTACTGTCTGGAGTTACAAATTTGTTTAAACTGATGGTGGTTTGGTTTTTTATTTTCCTTTCTAGGTATAACTCCCACCAAGCAGAATGTAGGCTTTTGAATGATTGCCAAAGGATGTTTTTAAGACTTTAGTTTGACAGTATTTCTTTTAATTTTTTCTCAGATCATACTGTTTGCTCTGAGATGATTGCAAAACCTTGGCATATTTTTCCATTTAGATGCTGATATATAATCAATTTAAATACCATTTACCTGAGCCTTTATCTTGCTTTATTCATGCATTGAAAAACTCATATAAGGACAGCAAGAAAGAACCTCAGAGAGGTTTATACCTATTAGGTTTTAGAAACTTTCTATTATGACCAGCCTCACCAGGACTCTCAGGCTGATCACCAGCTGTGCAGTGTGAACTGAACAGGAATTTTCCTCCTCAGATTTTCAAACTATCATGCCTCATGTGTAACACCAGTGTTCCCATCCACCACAGTTGTTACAGCACTTGATGAATCCAGGTGTACTGAAGCAAACTGCCCTATGCAGGCAGTCCTAATCCCAGGAGTTAACTTGTCTTAGCTTAGATTTGCCTCAAGTGTATTTAAATAGGCAGTATTTGCTATTTTAAACTGATCACCCTTAGCCATTGAGGAGTGTGCCTGTGTGGTTAGTAACTGGCATGGCACAGCTGTGTCTCACATGTCAGAGCAGAGACTTCCTTGGGAATGTGCAAACAGCATTCCCAGAGAGTGGGAGCAGCACTTGCCTAAGGAAGAAAGGAGACAACCCTTTGTCATGGTCATCCAGTACACCTCTTCAGGAGATAGCTGGAGCCAGTGCTAGAGGAAGCTGCAAAAACACCTGAAAACAGCGAGGAGCAGGAAAATAACTGCTTGAACAGATCAGAGGGGGAAAAAAAGCCTGAGCTGCCCTCCTGGCTTTGGACTTGGCAGAGGAATGTTTTCCCTCCTACTGTAGCAACAATAAAAATCAGCGGTATCTAAATCAGCTTTTAGTAAAGCTTAGACCTGTAGTTTTGAAAGACTGGCTGGTGATAAGCAGTTAGTGCCGGGGTCAGTAATTGCTGTGCCTGGCCTAAGGCTCCATGAGGATGAGGAAGAGCAGGACCTGGGAAGGGACACTGAGAGTCCAGAAGGAGATGGGGAATCCCTGCTGGCAGCCCTGACACACCAAAAAGACCCATAAACCACCAGAATTTCTCACACGCTTGTTACAAAGGAGCTTCAAGTGCTCCTCATTCTATGTGCCTGCTGCCCTGCATGCTGGGCATTCAGCGTCCCAGCAGGAGCAGCTTTCTGATCCCCGGGTTTGCAGCAGGTGGGGAGTCCCTGCAGGCAGGAAAACTCATGGTGTCAGCCCCTCCAAGCCGGGCAGTGTCAGTCCCTGCAGGCAGGAATGACCACTGAGCAAATCGCAGAGACCAGACCTCCCTGCAGGGCTGTTCTGCATCCCCGAGCTGCAGATGGGGGCACAGGGCAGGTCCCCTGCACAGGGGTTCCCCAGGTGTCTGGCAGCAAGGCTGCTTACCCAGGTGCACTGAGCTGGTTAAAGGCTGAGCTACCCAGAGAGTGCAGCAGAAAGGGCAGAGCTTTATATCGCTGTTTATGGCCATTGATCAGGAATTTAGGATGGTTTGCTGCTGGTATGAGCTTAAGCATGTCCAGACTGGGGTACTGAGCAGAAGAACCTTGGGGATCATACTCAGCTCCCTGCCTCTACCACACCAGAGATGCTGTGCAGAGCCAGGAAATCTTATGACTCAGTGGTCTAAGTAATATCAAACCTTAGCATTTATATTTTGTACTATTGATAAACTCCTTCAGTAATTTCTGTTGGTTCATAGGACCTTTCTGATCCGTCTGTAGTGGAACATTTGGTATTTACCTTTGTGGGTGGAAACTACAGGGACAATCCCATTTATAATCTATGTCTGTAATAGATAAAGAGGATATACAAGCACACAGTCCTTAGAGGCTGGAATAAAAGGATACCAAAGCTCTTTTGCAACCATCTGCATAACTCATTTTTGCCCCAAACACATCAAGTCACAGTGTCATTCCCCACCAGATCAAACCAGGCCTTCCTTTCAAATCTTTCTTTCAATGTTTCCACAGTTTCTCTCCGTGGCAGCAAAATACACAGACATGTTTTGCATACCCCTGGTATTCTGTTGCATGGAAAAGTCCTTTTCACTTGTATTTATTGTACAAAAACATAAAACAATTTCTTAATTGTGTTATAATTATGCAGAGTTGGACAGCTAGGCACAATGCAGCACTGTGTCAATAATTTATTACATCTTATGCCATAATTGAACACTTTTACTATGAGCACTTGAGAACAACTTGGACCTTATACAGAATAATATATTTTGCTACATAATAATGGAAAGGTGGATACTTAAGAAAGATGTGTAGCTTGGAGGAAAACATACATGGAAGCAAACACCTCCTGCATCACCTATCTTTATGTAAAACTTAAAACTAAACCAACATATTATATTTAATGACCCCTTTTTATATATTTTAAGAGCTAATCAGAAGGAAATCATATTACAGTGCAACTATTTACACCAAGATGTGGGCACACCAGAACACAACTCTTCTCAACATTGGGACTCTTTTCTCACATTTATGAATGGACAAAGCACATGGGAATCAGACAGAAATTCATTCTCAAGAACAATGTTCAAGGAACAAACAGGTCATATCCACAGCGCACTGATATCATCTCTATCCACTGCCTCGAGGCTAAAAGCAAGAGATCTCAAGGTGTACAGGTATCATCTTCTCTGTCATGGACTTCGCTTAGAGTCAGTCCTGTGTTGCCAGCCGCACACAGCCTTAAATCCAGCTGTGTGACAGCATCCAAATGCTGCTGAAATATGTCCATGGAGAGACACAGAAACACTGGATTTATTGCTGCATCCTTGTAAACATGCTTACCCTAAGGGTAAGAAATCTAGTTAACCTTGCTTGAGGAGAAGTTGTGTCCAATGTGTCAAATTAACTTTCATGACATATTCACGTGAGCAACTGTTCTGCTACCTACAGCCACACGACTCCACCACCATGTCCTCGTACTGCTTGTAGACCACGTTGTTTGCAGAGTCAATGAAAAGGATGCTGATGGGGCTCAGCCGGGTTGGCACACAGCAAGTCGGGGGCGTGGACTCGGGGTCCATCGAGTTCATTAAAGTCTGGATGACTGCGTGGTTGGTGGGCTCCAGGTGGGATCGGAGGGGGAATTCACAGAGCCCTTCGCAGTGGTACGCCTCATACTCCAGAGGGGCTATTATCCAGTCATCCCAGCCCATATCCTTAAAATTCACGTGGAGGGCTTTCCTGCTACACCTTGCCTTCAGGTTCTTGGTGGGCCTCTTCCCTTGCCGTGTTGCTAGAGGAGCTCTTCTCTTCCTCCTCTGGTTGAATAAGTACTCATAAACAGTTTTGTCATCTTGGCCGGATCTAGCCTTGATTTCATTGAAGAATAAGTCTCTTTTTTTCGTCCTCCCAAACACCAAGAACAAAGCCTTTTCATTGACCTGTCTTCCTGTTCTATTAAATCCCACACTCCTGAGATCAACAGCTCTCCCCCTGTCAAAAGTTTCCAGTTCAAAACACAAGTTAACCAAGTTTTTGAAGTTTCTGAAAAGTTTCCAGATGTCAAACACTTCCCACTTGGGTGTATCAGTGATGCTGACAGTCCGAGAGTCCAAGAGTGTTGAGGCTTGTCTGTTTGTAGAGCAACTAAATAATTTTACTTGGGAAGTTTTTCCAGAAGAGTGAGACTTCCATGTATCAGAAGGTTTTTTCCTCAATATTCGAAGCTCTGCTCCCAGCAAACCATCTTTTTCTAATGCACTGATGTCAAAAATATATTTTTGTTTTCTTATAGTTGGTGCTCGCTCATCTAAAAAAAGCACACAGATTTTAAATGTATATCAAGCACAGACCAATATCACTTATTCAGTTCTTAATGGTTTTCCTCAAATTTGCTCATAAGTCTCAAAGTTAGCCTACTGAACAGAAAAAACAATTGTTGTCTGAGGGGTCAGACCCATGCAGGGACTCAGAAGAACTCAGGGACTCACCAGAGAAATGAGTTTCTGAGTCTGCCTTGTAGAAATCTCCTTTCTTTCACCAGTAGGCATTTTCTACCTTCAAAGTTATGATTAGCAGTTGAAAAATAATACTTTTTCAGCACTGAGCATTCACAGGACCTATTTACCACTCATATCCTACTTAAATTACTGAAAGAGAGCTTCAGTGGTGACCAGGCCTTATGCTTGCTCCAAACATGAGTAAATTTACCTAGATGATGCAACAGTGAATTAGTCCTTTAAAACCAGCATCCCCAGGAACTGCCAGAGATAAGGATAATTGTCTAATTAACTAAACCCCACATAATTCACAATTTTTCAAACTGGGCAGAAAAAAATTCCTCTTTATCCTGACTTTACATTCACTTGCTTCAGGTGGTGAAGAATATGGCTGAGCCATATTCATTCCAGTGAGGTGACATTAACAGAGCCTTCCAGTGGCAGCACTTGAGAGCAGTGCATCCCCCCTTCCCAGCAGCCAAGCTATCAATGAAGAGATGGCAAACAAATCCAGTCCTGGTGAGTCTTTCATCACAATTCCTTCACCAGCTGTGTTGCTTCCTTGAGAATGTGACAAAACTCTTACAAATGTCACTGGAAGCAAGATGGGGCTCCCAAAGCAGGGTGGTGAGGTGAACATCATTCATTGGGAGGCTGGTTATTTCTCCTGTGAAAGCAGACACTAGCCCAAATTTCCAGAAGTGTTTGGAAGAGGAATGTTGAGCTGCAAGTTCTGGAGTCCTGGATGTTATTACCCTTGGTAGCCTGTGCAGCAAGGAGCTGTGGGCTCCTTGGTGCTGCTATCTGAAACTTTTAAGGTAGTACAGATACACCCACCCCACAGGATAACGACCCCTGGGTCTGCAGTGTAGTTCCTCACAATTCTACCTTGAACAAACCAGACTGGGGTTTTTTTTTTGACAGAATAGCTCTGTTCTTAGCATATTATATGTTTTTAGGCACGCTACAATTTAACATTAGCTGTTTCCATGAGCAAGTTTCCAGCTAGCTAGAAAGAAAATAAGACAAAAATGCGAAAGGTTTTTAAACACCTAAGCATTCAAAGACTGATTGATTTTCCACAATATGCATCTAAAATACTTCCTAAATGTTTTCTTTGGCTGCCACACAACCATCTAGTTCTGCCTGTAAATGAGTTTTCCAAGATAAGGCAGGAGGACAAAATCTGCAGCAAAGTTGTGAGATTTCATTTACATTAAAAAGAGCTATTTGACTTTACCAAAGTATGATTATTTTCCAATACTCTCTGCATTTATAAGCACACTCAGACATCTCTCTCTGTTCACACTCACTCACACACAAGCTCCTTTCTTACCTTGTCCTTTGTCTATAAAGCTGGTTATTGTATTGGCAAGTCCAGCCTCCAGTTTTACACTTCCATTAACACCCTTTCTTTCTGCATCTGAGAGAGTCCTGTACAAAGAGAGCATGTATTCATGTGGCGTTATCGGGGGATGTCGGAAAGTTTCCTTAGCTTCCCTCTGGGTTACAGGCTCTTTAGTCTTTTTGGTTTTGAAAGAATCAGTGTCAGTACTGCTCGTGCCAGTTTTTTTCAAAGCCACCTTGCTGCTAAGATTTTGAACCTTTGGAGTCACTGTCCTTACTCCAGAAGGTCTGCTGGGGAGATGTCCTACCTTGCCCTCCGTGGCTGCTGTTCTTGAGGGAGCCTTCTTTGAGTCATCATTCTTGGCCAGCAGAGCTCCAGCCTGAACAGCACTGCTTTTAGTCCTGGCCTTTGAGGTCCCAGCACTGTATCCATGGCTTGCAGTCCTCAATGTACCTGCCCGTGCAGAGGGGTTCCTCTCCTTTCCATCTGCTTTCAAAAAACCTAGTTTAGATCCTGGATTACCCTGGCCTGCTTCAGAATTACTCAGCGCTCCAGGAACTAGATCCAGAGACAGCCAAGTCAAATGCCAAAGCAGTAAAGTGAGAAAATGCAGGATTTTCATCCTCTGGTCTTCCTCTGAATGCCACTAAAGAAAAAATCAGAAAAGGTTCCTCCAGTTTGGCAGAAGAAAACATGAAAGAAATTAAAAACCAAAGATAGCAAAAATGGTTTTCGTTTGAGATTAAAACATTTCAAATATCGCTGTTCAATACTTGTATCCAGTCCCATAGTGGAAATGCTCATGAACTCAGATACGATCTCCCCTGACTTTAGTTAGCAGCTATAAAGAACTTGTTCTTGAAAAGAGAAAGTTTACCACCTCGTTTTCTTCTGTAAAACTGACTGAAAACTTGAAGGAGTCTTGTTTAAATCCAAGGGTTTTTTTTTTTTTCCAAGAAGGAAGAATGGCGTAATGCTGCCTCTGTGTTAAAAGGTTTTTTTAAAGTTTTGAGTTTTGAATCCTTTCCAGTGAAAATATTTCACACACAGAGGCCTGCAGGTGCTCAGAAATCTTTTACAAACCTGAACTCTGGAATTGGAAACGGAATTCCAACAAACCTATTTAATTACTCTCTGATGTCATGCTGTCTAAACTAATTTAACTGCGATATATTTCTTAAAAAAAAAATCTTCTTTACCCTTTTCATTAGCATGAGTCATACTCTGCCTCATGTGAAACAGCTCCACAGGCTCAAAACTCCAGAGGATGCCTTTTCAAGTGGCAGTATGACCTCTGCCTCAGCCCTCGATGAACTTCACATTTAGACAGGACAAACTGCAAGATCAACAACTGAGAGCTGTCACACAGTCCACTGGACACATACATAAACTAATTTAGAAATAATTCATGTAGCTCTTTTTCCAGAGAACTTCTAACAGTGGCTTCACTCCGTCCCCCTGTGACTGAAGGGCTGCGCTGCAACGCAGGCGCTTAACGAGGGTAACATTTAATTTTACACAAACTCAACAGGGCCGTGCCCGCAGTCAGTGTATTTTGGCTTATTTATTGCTGTGCTTTAAAAAACCCGTGTCAGCCCAGCTGGAGAAGCAGCTCCTGCCGGAGGGGATGCCCCGCGGGGCGGGCGCGGTGCAGCGGGGCAGCAGTGCACCCTGCAGGCAGCCATCCTCCTCCTCCTTCTTCTCCTTCTCCAGAGCCACTCGGGAGCTGGAGACAGGCCGAACCCCTGTCTTTCCTCCCGAGATTGCTGAGCAGCAGCCTTTGTTTTAATTTTAGATGTGAAATGTCCAAGATCTGCTGACCCCGGGGCCCCAAGAAGGCTGCCGGTCAAAACCAGCGCTCCTCGCTGTCAGGGCTGTCCTGCAGCTTTCAGCCAAGTGTGTCTTTCATAACCTGCAAAAAACGAACTGTTGTTCTAAATGAGCCTTCGGGAAAGGAGGCACTGGGCTGGACTCAGCAGGAATTGCTGGGACCCATCTCTCATCTTACACTGATGCTAAGCCCAGTCCTTCTCCTGCAGTTTCTTTTCTTTCCGAGTTAAGATGGAAGGAAAAAGGTGCACCACCTTTTAGCTTGTTCTGTGTGTGCTTAGCATTCCCCACCCACCCTGACCAGTATCAGAAATACTGAACTGCTTTCATAAATGACAACTTGTATGACATGAGGAGCTCTGAATGCTTCACTTGTTTAGATGGAGGAACTGAAGGACAGAAGAGTTCAGTGATTTTAGAGATGTCACAAATAAGGTAGATTCAAATCATGATCCTGCTGATTTTGATCTAAAGGCCCTTCCCTCTGATGTCAGTTGTGTTTTTGATATTTCCCTGAAAAATAAAGCAGCTTCTCCTGGGAGAAGCTGCTTTATTTTTCACCTCTGGTGAAACCATTCCCTGGCAGTCACTCCACAGCATCCCATGGCCCTCCCAGCCATGCCATCACTTTATCCTTCCCATATTGCCCACCTTTCTGCTGGGTGGTGTGCTGTGTCTGGTTCTGCACCTTGGGGGTATTTATCAGCTTGCCAGTAAGCCACAAAAGTAGCTAAATGTTGAATTTCCACTTTTAATCTATCTCGCTTCCAGTTTTCACAATGCTTTTAAGAATTTAATATCTTTAAAAGGTCGTTTGCTCTATCAAACTTGGCTGAGATTTGCAAACAGATTTAAGAGATGGGACGTGAAAGAGCAGGAGGTTGGACAATGTGATTACATGGGCCTTGTCTTAGTAAATCAAATTAAAACATGATCACTGATATGTTCAAAGAATATTTACATGTCTGAGATTAAAAAAATATTAGTGGGCTGGACAGAGCTAGACAGAAAGAAAAAGGAAAAGCAAGCAAAACAAGGTGTGCAAACTAATCTTCCTGTTTAAAAGAGGCTGTGTTGAAGCAAATGCCATCGCAGTGCTTGGAACCACAGGAGTGCAGATGCTGTAGAGTGCACTGAGCCCCACAGACCCCAGAGCGGAATGCTGACCCTGAACAAGACCCACAGACTGGGGATTTCCTATGAACCCTACACCAAAGTGGAGTCATTCCAGCTGGCTAAACTCAAACTCCACTGATATGTTCAATAGGTAGCTAGGAGCCCTCCTGCTGGTGAGGTTCTGGATACAGGACACAGTGGAAGTGGTGTTCCATGTTATGAACATTCCAAGCCTCTCACTGCTCACCACCAGCCACACTCCTGTGCACCCTGAGTGGCACCCAGCCTACCTGTCCTTCTGAGCCTGTTCTGTGACAGCAGCTCCTCCCTCACACGGTGTGGGTAGGGATTTGAAAAGGGAGGGCCACCTGTGTCCCTGCTCCCTGAAAGTGCCTTCCCTCCTGTTCTCCAGACCCTGACATTATGCCTTCATGAGCTGTGACACCTTCTTCAGTCAATCTCAGCCCTTCTGGATGTCCAGCATGGTCTAGAGGAAGGGATCACTCTGGGGAGCCAGGGAAAGATTTCATAGTGTTGAAAACACTGCCATTCCCTGAGGATGAGCAGCTCCACTGGATATATGATGCCAAGAGTTAGAATTTGCTCTCTGCTGCAAACTTGCAGTTGAAGCTGCACATGGAAGTCTTTATAGTGATCTATCAGGAAATTAATTGTCCTTTCCCAGGTGGACTAATTTCCAGAAAGGACTTACAAGATTGAGTTAACTCCATATATTAGGCCATTTGCTGTCACATTGTTTTGCTTATTGAAACTAATTATCATTCTGTTTGTGGGAGGATTTAGACCTCTGCACCATAGCACTTGGGCAATTGTTTTTTAAAAGTGTGAAGTTGTAATTTAGGAAGGAACTTAACAGCTCAGTGCTTTTCAAAAGGAAAGAATTACACAAAACCTACAGATGTTATAATTAAAAATTGCTTATCTTGGGCCAGAGCGAAACAAATGTAATGATGTTTCCATTTCCATGTGAAGATGGCATAATTTAAAACACTGTGCTACAATGTTGTGATGTTAAATAAAAAATCTGACGTCCAAAGAAATAACTGTGTCATTGGTTATTAAGAAACTACATCTGTGAACAGTAGTGAACTACAAAGTCCAGATTCATAGAAACATGGAATATTCTGAGCAGAAGTGTTATTTTTGTTTTCTGATTCCACAGATGTACCTAATTTCCCCAACTCTGAATGGAAATTATTTTTTTCCTAATTTTTGGTACCTCTGCCTGTTACCAGTTAGAGAAATTCAGGGTTTGTTTTAAACTTCTTCAAGCCTATTCACTAACAGAGTCCCTCCATTTGGTATACAATGTTAATTGGCTTAAGTTGCCTTTGATAAGTAGTTCAAATATAGGTATTGTTCATCTTTGCAATAGAAACATGTTTAAATTATTCAAGATTTGAGAGAGAGATTCTGAAATCCCAAATTACTTCGCTGACCAAAGAGAATTTTGGTGGCAATTCATTTTCCCCACCTCTTTTAAAAAAAAACAAAAAAACAAAAAACACAAAAAAAACCCCACAACCAACAACCCAGAATGTCAGTGATGAAGCATTTACTGTCACGGGAAAAAGAAGGGACCGAAACCAAGCCAGCTTTATTCAGCAGCCAAATACAAAATGAAACATATTTTTAGCAATGGGGTTAGCTTAACTAACTCTCAGAACAATTCCCGATGCCATGTGGAGGGCTCACTACCACTGTGTTTTCTGATTACACTCCCTGCCGGCGCGGCGCAGCGGAAGCGCCCACAGACAGCCCCGGCGCTGGGCCCGGCGCGGGCAGGCCGCGCCGCCCCTCACGGAGCCCGCGCTGCCTCCGGGCGGCCCCGGCGGCCATGGCGGGCAGCTCGAGCCACAGGGAGCTCAGCCCGGCCTCGCTGCGGCGGCGGCTGCGGAGCGCGGAGGAGGCGCAGCAGCGGCAGGCGGGGCTGGTGCGGCAGCTGCAGGACGAGGTGAGGAGCGGGCGGGGCGCGGCGGCGGGGAGGGGGTGCAGAGGCGAGCCCAGGGGGGCTCGGCGGGAACCCTCGGGGCCTCCCCGGACGGGCGGCGCCGGACTCGGAACGCGGGGCGGGGAGGCCCCGGGAGCGGCCGTCCCGCCGCGGTCTCGCTGCCGAGCCCCTCCCGATCTCGGCGCCCGCAGCATCGCTGCTGCTCGGCCCCGGTAGCAGCGTTTGTCCCGGGCAGGAGTCGGGCCGGTTTGCTTGCAGAGCAAGTTTGAAAACTCATTTCGGCCGCTTCAAGGACCCCCTTGAACGGCCAAATGTTGGCTCGGGGTACGTGAGGGCCGTGGGTCAGGTAGAGCTGCCCGCACCTGTCCCAGCGTTCTGCTTGCTGCCGCTGTCTCAGGTGAGCAGACGGCGCTACGGCTGAAAGAAACCCCGCCCCAATCTCTGTCGTATTAAATCAAGCTTCCCTATATTGTGGTGGCTTCTTGTTGAGCGTATCAGAATCACTGTGCTGGACAGAGTCAGAGAAAAGTTAATGTGGGGTGAGCAGAGTCTATAACAAGCTGCTTCTCTCACCTTCATTCTCTGTATCCATTCAGGTACTGCAATACCAGACCTGGTGTCAAGAGTTGGAGCAGCAAGTGAAAGCTGCAGGGGTAAGTGTGCTACAGGTTGTGAACTAAAAAGGGTGTATCTAACCTTCCCAAATGCAGACCAATAAAAAACCCTCCACAATCCAATTACAAGAAAGCAGATTTTTACTGTCTGAGGGTTTAGAGAAACACTGTTAGTTTTCCCATCAGTGTTTTGTCCAGTTGCCATTCTTAGAGCAGTCAGTAGTCTCAGAAATTTGAGTCCGGAAAACGCAGCTGAGGATTTTAATTTTGTGAAAGAGTGCTTCATTAGAGTTACATTTGTCCTGGGTCTCAGGAGAGGACTGTGCTGCATGTTACATGATAGAGCTGTCCTGGAGAAAGAACCAGTTGATACAGCTTTTTGGAAGTCAGGAAGGCTGGTGGTCAACATACAGAGCTGGCTCTATGCATTTCTTTCTGCTTCATAGCTAAAATAAACCTAGAAGCCAAAGGGTGGAAGAATAGGAGAGCATTCCCAGGCTTCAAGTCCAAATCATCACTTGAGGTCATGAAGTGAGGACACATAGCAGTGAGAGCGTGAGGAGAGCTACTCACACTAACACCCTTCCCTTCCCTTCCCTTCCCTTCCCTTCCCTTCCCTTCCTCCCAAAGTGCCAGTGTGGTACAAGAGGAGAAGCCCAGGGATGCTGGGGGTCCCCTGGGTGTGATGCAGAGCCAGGACTCAGCCCCACCTCACTCCTGCACCTCGTCCTCCACAGCCAGGACACCAGGAGGTGCTGGGACAGCACTCACAGGGAGTGTTGGATGTTGACAGTTTTGAAGGAAACACTATCATTTGACTAAACACTTCCTTTCTTCTTAAAGGGATCCCTTCCAGGCAGGTGGGAGGCCACAGCAGACCACAGCCTGGAGAAAGCACTGCTTCAGGTGGAAGAGGAGCAGCAAAGGTACAAGGAAGAGGCATTTCTTCATACTTGGTATCGTGGATGCTCATGGAAGTGAGGGAAAACCTGTTGGTGCTACCTGGCATCCCCTAGGGAAGTGGTTGGGCAAGGTGCTTTGGCAGGAGAAAGGTCCACAATCTGCTTTCTGTGGTGCAGTAATAGTGCTGTGTGCTGAATGGCTCTGCTTTGAGTGGGGAAGTGGGGTGTGTATTCTGGTCCCTTTCCAGCATAAATTGTTCTGTGGTTCAGTAGGTGAACAACTGACAGTGGACAGTGCTATAGAAAAGTGATACATCCAGTGACCATCAGCATGAAGAGGGGGCAAATTGTTACCTGTGGGTATTGTCAGGGTTGAAGGGGAGACCAAAATCATGGATGGAAATTGAAGGCTCAAAGCACAGAGAAGCAAATGAGGTTTTCGTGACAGAGAGACCTTAGTTAACACTGTAAAGTGCCTTTACTGCCTCTCAAACAACAAAGTCAGTGTTAAGGGAGCTGGAAAATCACAGGGATGCTGGACAGCTGTTGTTCAGTGACCTCACTGTTGTTTCTCTCTCTTTCCAAGGTGTGAGAATCTGGCAGAAGTGAACACTCTCCTGCGGGAGCACCTCAATAAAGCCAGTGAGGTTAATTCTGCCCTCAAAGAAGATGTTGGAAAACTGACGGTGGATTGGATGAGGGCCCGGGAGGAGCTGGAGTTGAAGGAGAGTGAATGGCGCACTAAACAGGAGGTGAGGATGGGCGAGGGGAATGGGAATGCGTTTTGTTCCTGGCATGGAGAACTTGCTGTGTGGAGGCTGTGGCTCTGCTGAGGATGGAGGAGTGTGGGATGGAGGAGTGTCAGCAGAGGGTGCTTGGAGGAGATGCCCACCTTCTGTGACTGCCCTGCTTGGTCAAGAAGATAGAGCTGGGCACTGTAGGGCAGTCACAGGAACACTTGTCTCTTTAATAGTTCCTTAATCCTTGTTTTGAGCAATTGAGACCAGAGAGGTCTGTGTGTGTTCAGATTCAAAGTGGCCAACACAGGAACAAGACAGGCCTCTTGTACTGACTGCCTGTTGTAAGCCAACCTGGCACTGGTCTTGAAAGAACTTGTGTTTGTGTTCCTCTGCTGGGACTTTGAGGTGGTGAATCACAATCAGTTTGCTTTGCTGCTACCCACTGCTACTGGAGAAGTGGGGATGTTCCCTTCTGGGCAGGTGGTTCCCTTCTGTGGGCCTCTGTGGTGCCTCTTTAGTCCTTGATGCCCCTGGTGCAGTAGTTACCAAAAGGCACCTGGTGATGGTGATTTACTCTCTCCTGTCTGAGAGATGTTACGGTGACAGTAAAGGCTGAATTGGCATTTCTTTTTGTCTTTGCATGTTTAGCTTTATGACAGCTACTTAAGGGGGGAGCATAGCCGTCTGCTCAGCCTGTGGCGGCAGGTGGTGACCTTCCGCCGCCACTTCCTGGAAATGAAGACTGCCACGGACCGGTGAGTGGAGGTTGAGGCGAGATCTCCTGCAGCAAACATGTGGCTTGCTTGCTTTTCGTTCCTGCTTTTTGAACCTTGGTGTTGCATTAGTTACAGCAGAGGTAGGATTTCCCCTTTGGCGGTCAGAAGCAATGACATTCAGCATGATTTGGGCTGTTCTCAGAAGAGTTGTTGGCTGCTGGTCTTCAGATAAAGCTGAAGGGCTTGGGCCGTGAGGACAGCAGAGGCTCTGAGCAGGTGATGACTGTGGTGATGTATGGGCATGTGAACACAGGCACAGAAATGCATGGACACCTGGGAAGAGACTCACTGAAGCTGTGTATGCAGCATATACAGTGGTCTCTTTTGTGAAATTTTAAAAACCTCCCTTTAAAAAATCTTGCCAGGTTTTTTTCCCACTGCTCCTAAGAGAAAGATGATTAATGCATATTTTTTCCCCTTTTCATTTCCAGCATGCATTTATTCTGGTCAGTTTGTATCCACTTACTCCTCTCCCAGCATTGCTGAGGGAAAGAATAGCGTCTCTACCCTGTTGCTGCATTTGTCCAATTTATTTTGCTTAGTTTGATACCTCTTTTTATGATTGTTTTCTTGTTCTTGGTCTCTCTGAGGTTCTTTTGTCCCAAGAAAAATAGTGTAGCCATAATAGTACCTTCTGGAGTCAACATGCACTTTCAAACGCTGGGTTACTGTAACCCATTTGTCTTATTTGACTATAAGTCTTCCCTGTTGTGTGGAGTCTGCCTGACCTGCTATTTAGTCCTTGTGTTGTTTGTGCTTTTATGTTACAGCATTTCAGGCTGATTCTTACACCACCTTTCTTGAAATGTTTTATTATATAGGTATAGTCTTGAGCTTCTTAGCAGTCCAAGTGGGGGTAACAGAGCACTCAAGAGCAGAGTATATAAAAGCTGGGGATTTTGGTAAAATTCCTAATATCTATTAATGATAATTACAGTATGCTAATAAGAGTGATTAGAGGTACTTGAGGCCTTCTGGCCTGTGCCATGTCTTACTTCTTATATCTGAGAAGAAAATAAACTCCACACTTGGCTACCTGGTAAAGTCATTGCTCAGCTGTCAAGATGTGTTCTTGACAAGTGTCCCGAGGTCCCCAAGTATCAGGTGAATGACTTGTCCCCAGTGAAGAAGTTACCTTGCCTGCCAGCTCTTCCTGATGCATGATTGCATACTTCAGAAGTGAATCAGCTGATAAAGATTTTGGAGTGAACATTGGCTCTTTCTTCGTTTCTCTTCAGAGATTTGTCAGAGCTGAAGGCAGAGCAAATGAGGCTTTCTGGATCTATTATTGTGAACTGCTCTCGCCTGAACTCCTGTGTGCACCTCAGGGAGTCCATCCCTGTGGGTAAACCTGCTCTGAAGGATCAGGCAGAGCAGCAAGTGGAACCAAAAATAAACCAGACAGCTCAGGAAGTGATAGCCTTACAAGTCAGGTGTGACATGGAGAAGAAAGAGCTTCAGGACAGGTAAATGTGTTTTAACTTTGTTATTGCCAGCATTATCTTTTGTGGCAGCTTCTTGGGTTCACAGATGGGCTGTGCTCACATTTAGAACAGCCCTGTGTCTGTTGCCAGTCAAACTCTTGCCTTTGACAGAAAGGATGGAAGAAAGCATCTGCCTGACAGAAATTCTTCCAAGTAAGACAAGACTGAAAGAGAGAGAGCCTCTGGTAGTGCTTTTGCTGTTAACTGATTCTTGGTGAAAAACTTCAGCACAAAGATAATGTTTCTTGTGTTTCTTCTACAGCCCTTTTATTTCTCAGGGCTGTGCTGAAGGAGTTGGGAGGAATTTGCCCAGGGCCACCATAAGCTCTGCAGCACCTCTGTGCTGACAATTCCTTGCAAGACTGAGTGCAGAGGCCTTTGGGGCAAGAAGTGCCATTTTGCAACATCAAGTGTATTAACCTGCAGAGATGAATGCTGCCTTTGCTGTGTTTCCTGGGTTGAACTTTGCTATGCTATGCTTTGGGGAGCTGCTTGGCTCTTAACCAGGTGCTGGTGTGCAAAGCTTTTGGAATGGCACGTAGACCTTCTCTTCTCAGGGTGATGGAGCTCTCAGCCTTGCTTGTGCAGTCTCAGAAGCAGAACGAGGAGAAGGAGAAGACCATGAAAACACTTAACGACACAGTGGAGATTCTAGTATGTTTTACCTTTACCTGGGAGATAGCCCAGTGTTTGCTCTCCAGTCTGAACACAGAGGTGTAGTTTCCTCAGGAGAAACTGTGTAAAGATGCCCAGTGTATGGGAATATCAGGCACCGTACCAAAATATTCCTCGTGTGTTCAGCAGATGTGGAGTCAGTCCAGATGCAGGAAGGGCCAGAGGAACTGCAGACAGTTCAGGTGTCTTGCTCTAAGGGGTGGCACTAATGCTCTTCTGCCTGTGACTTTAGGACTGTGGGGATCAGAGTTCCTTGGAACTGACTGTTTAATAGCAGTCTATAAAAACTAGCTTTTGGTCTTCCTCATAGTTTTACTAGAGAAGAAATAGAATAGGTATGGACAGGAATATACTGGAATCACTAAAGCTGAGACTTAGCAGTGTGGCTGCTACTGAGGATGGGAATGCTGCAGATGGGAGCAGCTCTTCTGTGCCCACCCTTTCTTTATTCTGTTCTCAGGAATCAAGTTGGATAGAGAAAGAATTTGCAGCTTCATTGAGTAACAGTGCCAAAGAAGAGAATCTTTTCCTTCAAAAGCTCATAAAAAATATCACTGAGGTGAGTACAGACCTGGTACACAGACCACAACACTGTAAATTTGATTTTAAAGTATTTGAGGAAGGCAACTGACTGGCCTAGGGACTAGAGATATATCTTATGTATTATCTGTGTTAACTGCCATTGCCTGTTTAATTTTTAGACCACTTTTCTGACACAGAACCTGCTGTAGCTTGTGAGTTGCTGTGCTGTGACAATTCAGTGAGTCATTACAAGCTGCAGTACCTTTGCCTTCACCACCCCACTAAGGTCTCTCTTGGACTGTGTTTTCGGAGTGTGCTACTCGACATTTGTGTTCCCATGTTTCTTGGGCAATTCACTCACCCTCTTTGAGCAATGAGTCTGTTGTTCTTCAGATCTTTGTGAAAGGTCACTGACTCAGTCGATGCACTTGCCAGCTCTGCTCCTTCCCTCAGTGTTCACTGACCACTATAATCTCCCCAGAACCACAACTTTCAGGGATAGCCTTAACTTAGTACTGAAGCTCTCTTAATAGAGAAGGGTGTAGTTGTCAGCTCTTCTACACAGCTGCAAGAAAGTGAGTGTTCAGGCAGCCTCCAGCCACTTCACACTTGTGAAGAGTAGCTATATTCAGAAATCCCAGGAGTACATGTAGCCACAGGTACAAACCTTTGAGGACTGAAGAAACCAGAAAATTGAGTTTTGAATTACTCCAGGGTAAAGTGGGAGGAGAATGAGAACAAGATAAAGAAAACCAAGTAAAATGAGCAAAGACTAACAGGTGGATGTGGGCTTTCAGATGGTGCTAGACGACAGTGACAGCATGGTCAGCATTATCTGCACTGGCAGTTCCCAGCATGCAAACTCTGGGGACATCTTCTCAGCTCCGAGATCTGTTGATGCAGGGCATGCCTTTGGACTGGTTCTGGAAGCACTGGCAAGGATGCGAGGGGCAGCACGGGTGAGAGCTTTGTGTCTTCCCTGGTGGCCAAGGTTCAGTACTGAGGCCTTGCTCAGGTCGACACCTTTCCATTTGCTCAGCCACTTGAGGCACTTCTTTGCACTTTAATACTCCTGCACTGCTTTGCTGGTCTTCCCAGCTCTGTGTTCTGCTGCTTTTCTCTCCTTGATGCCCACCCTCTCAGCACAGCTTTTGCCTTCAGAGGTGCTGTCTCTGCTAGCTGTTTCTTCCAGCTCTCTGGAGCCATCTTCCCTGCTCCTTATTGCTCATTTGTGTTTCTTCCCTGCCTGTTCCTGCAGGCCCTGAGAGAAGAACTTTCTGCTAGGCAGGACTCAAACAAATTCCTGCTGCAGCAACAGAGACATCAGGAAGAGAAGTGCAGGGAGGTGCAGCAAAGGCTTGAGCAACTGGAGGAGAAATGCAAGAAGTCCAGCAGCCACCAACAGCACCTTCAGTCTTTAGTAGAAACACTCAGAAGGTGAGTATCTCCTCCTCCTCCTGTGTCCCAGAGGCAATCTGCTTCCAGGTCTGGGAGGTCAGAGGTGTCCTGGGTGAAGAAATCACCTGCCTACCATGTGTAGGCCTCAGTGTGGCCCTTGAGCATCATCCTGTCTGGGTTTTTCATGCTCTACTGTGACTCCCTAGGCTGTCTGGGAGATGCAGAGCCATGCTGAAATAGAAGACTCCTTCTTCTCGCTGCCTTGCTTCCCTGAATTCTGTTCTTTGTGCACCCCTGCCCAGCCCCTGCTTCTCACTGAAGGAAGGCAAATTCCTGCCTTCCTTTCCCTTTGCCTCTGGAGGATTTCCTTGGGAGGGAAAGAGCAAGGTCTTCCTTAGCCCACTGCTCCCAGCTCCATCCTGGAGTGCTGAGAAGGGCATTGCTGACTCTTCAGGCCTCTTGGTTCTTCTGACTGAGCCTTGTCTCTGCAGTGACTGTGCAAACCTCGAGAAAACTAGGAAAGAGCTACAGGAGCAGCTTGGATTAAGGGAGCAAGAAGCCTCATGTCTGCGTCAGAGTAACGCTGAGCTGCAGATGAAGGAAGAGTCAGCCCAGGCAGAAAAGGCAGAGCAACAGGACAGGATGGAGAGAGCATGCCGTGAGCAGGAGCTCCTGTGAGTGTTAAAGGTTTCTCTGGCAGTGCTGGGCTTGGGGAGGCCCAGTGTGAAGGAACAACTGATGCCTGCTCCACTCTTGTAGCACAGACTGTTTTTCTAGAATCTCTTTCCCCTCCTCAGAGTGAAGGACTTGGCTGCACTTGAGGAAAAACACTCATTACTGCAGAGCGAGTTGGTAGTCAAGAGACAGACACTGGAGAAATTGCAGCTTCAGAAGGATCTGCTGGAGCAAGAGAAGGATGAGTTTGCCATGGCTCTGGAGAAGGTATGGACACCTTATTCCTAGGCAGCACTTCTGGGAGTGGGAACTGTGCCACCAAGATCACCTGAGATGCTGTTTCTGGCAGTAGAAGAGAGGGTCACTGTTGTTCTTCTTGGAAAATGGTGATCTAACCAGACAGGCTCTTTGGGATCACCGGTCCCCATGATCTTACTGGGACCTCTGCCCTAGGAATAAGTCAAAGACACCCAGGGGAGGTGGAGTGGCTGGCTGCAGTCCAGGATTTTGCTGCCCTTCTTGTCCCATTGTTCTCTTGCCTCTCCAGGCACAGCGGTCAGTGGCAGAGCTGACAGGGGCTCAGAACAAGCTGAATGCTGAAAGAGCTGATCTGCAGGCTGCAGCAGAAAAGATGAGCAGCATCAATGAAAGTCTTGCATTGGACAAAGTGCAGCTGAACAAATATGTATGGCAGGTGAGGAGAGTTGCCAGAGATGTGCCAGGCATTTGTCTCAGCCTTCTTAGCTTGGCACAGTCTGCACAAACTGACTGTGGCAGTGTTCCTTTTGTGTCTGAGCCAATCTTTCATAGTAATTATTCTATTTTCTTCTATTTTCCTCTAACTTTATTTCCTGTATGTTTCTGTGACTCTAGCTGGAGCAAGAGAAGGAAGTTTTGTCTGCTAAAGTGGATGAGATGGAGAGAGAAAAGATCTGTGAGCAGGAGAAGCTGAACTTCTTTGAAAGAGCAAACAAAGAGCTCTGTGCAGAGAAAGCCCGGCTAGAGCAGCTGCTGAAGGAAGCAGAGGAGCAACGGGAGGAGCTGTGGCTGGAGCTTAGTACACTGGGAGAGGAGAAAGCAGAAACCCAGGAGAAATTCCATCAGGTGACCAAAAGTATGATGCATCCATGTGGGCACTGGGCTGCTTGGATGAGGGAGGCTTTACCTGATGGATTCTGCAGTGGTTTTGTCAGGGGGACATGTGGTAGTGCTAGAGGTCACAAGGCTTTGCTTGCTCCTTTTTGGAAAAATGTGGATGGCTTGCAGAGCTGTTCCACAGTTCTCAAAGTTGTCCTCTGTTTCTACAGAGTCTTCTAGTCCACCTGTCTTTGTTGGCCTCTTTTTTGGCTCTTGATAAGTTGCAAAGAGAGAAATGTGTTTTCCATGAATCTGAGTGTGTGGCAAAAGAAACAAACTGGCAAAAGGATCAAGCTCTGTAGCTCTGAATCCTTTTTCTGAAAAAAAAAAAAACAAAAACCCCAAAACACCAAGTCTGCATGTTTCTGCTGATGCTTTTTGTCATAAAGTTGGAGCGTGTCCAGAGAAGGGAACAGTGCTGGGGAAGGGTCTGGAGCACAGGTGCCTTGCAGACAGTGGCTTTGGATATGTGAGGCGGTTGTACTTAGATGTGGGTTTTGTTCTTGAAAGAGGAAATGCCGTATATTCTCCCTTGATTCAGAAAGAAAAATTGTTGTCCCCAGCCTTCCTGAAAATGTCCATCACTGAAATAGATCCAGAGACAAATTTTGTTAGCCAAGTGGCAGTTGTGGAACGTGCACTGAATTTGGGTGCCAACACAGAGTTTGGAGTAGGGATGTTTGTTGGGAAGGAGCAGTCTGGGCCCAGGCAAGGCAGCAGGGCCTGACACAGCACTTCCAAGGTAACAGTGCCAGAGGCTTCTGGCAGCCCAGGCTATCAGAGCTGCATAGGGCAGATGCTGTGAAACTTGGAGCCCAGAGCACAGGTGCTCCTTGTCCTCTGGCTGCCTGCGAGGTGGCGCTGGCTGGCTCTGCACAGGGCTCCCGAGGAAGGGCTCCAGCTGTACCTTGTCCCACTTGCAGGTTTCCCAGGAGCAAGAATCGTTGAGCAGGGCTCTGGAGCAGCTGCGCCAGGAATCCTCTGACCAAGGGCATGAACTGGCCCAGGCATGCAGAGAGAAGGAGCTGCTGGGCCGGGAGAAGGCTGCCCTTGAGGGCCGACTGGCAGCCACAGAGCGCCACCAACAAGACCTTTCCAGGCAGCTGGCAGAAACCAGGTAAAGGCAGGGAGAAGACCCTGCAGAGGCAGGACAGGGCTGAAGAGCTGTAATGATAAAGGTGATAAACACTACACAGTGGTTTATTTTATCCTCTGTGCTTTTCAGATACAGATTTGGCTGTAGAGGCCAAGTTGGGCTGGGCAGTCTGTGCTGTGCCAGGCCATAAGGGAGGCCTGGGCAGTCCTTCAGAGGGCCCTGCTCTCTCTTGAAATGGCACAGATGTGCCTTCTCTGGACCAGTTTCCAGGTGTCCCATTTTCCATACTCAGGTGTGGGGATCTTGAGCCACGTCATCCTGGAACATCCAGCTGTGGGTGTCTGGAGCAAGCAACTCATGTCTCTCCATATTTGCAACTTGCAGGTCAGCAAAGGAGAGCCTGGAATCCAGGCTGTTTGCTGCTCAGCAGCAGATATCTCAGCTGGAGATCTCCAGGAACCATCTGGAGGCTCAAGTGTTCATAGTCACACAGGCCAAGGAGGTGATAGAAGGTGAGAATCTCATGTGCTTTGTGGTGCTGCCCCTGCCTAGAGAAGCTAAATACCTTGTAAAGCCACCTCTGTCCACAGAGCATCTTAGGAGTGGTGGGGCTGGAGGCCCTGAAAGGGCCTGAGGTCAGCAAAGTCAGTAAAGACCCTGACTCTTGCTGTTGGTTTGGTTTGCAGGAGAAGTGAAATGCCTGCAAGGTGAGCTGGAAGCAGAGAGAGCTCTCAGGAAGCAGGAGCAGGAAGACACAGCTCAACAGCTCCTGCAGGCACAGCAGCAGCATCACGAAAGCCTCAGGCTTCAGGGAACTGCTCAGCAAGTGGAAATAAAGAAGCTCCTGGAAGACCTGGCTTTTAAGCCTTCAGAGAGAGTTTTTCTGAAGTCAAAGGTTTTGGGGTAGCCCTATGGCGGGGTATTTCCCTCAGGGCAGCAGCCCAGCGGGGAATGCCGGCCGTCCAGGATAGCTCAGCGGGGGGCTCAGGCAACCCAGGCAGGCTATAGTGATTTGCAGTCAGCTCTTTAGTGATTTCAGCTCTTTCAGCATGCCTGGTGCCGCTGCCTTTTGTTGACATAAGACTTGTTAAACCCATTATTTTTTTATCTAAACCAGACTGGGAGAATCACAGAGAGGGTAAGGTTGGATGCACCACAGTGGCTCATCTGGTCCCACCTCCCTGCTTAACGAGACCCTGTACCACTAATTACAGCCCTCTGGCTTCTGCTGTTCAGCCAGTACTCAGTCCAGCCCATTGTGCACTCCTCCAGCCCCCACTGCCTGAGTTTCCCAAGAAGGATGTTGTGAGAGACCATGTCAAAAGCCTGACTGAAGTCAAGGTGAACAATATCCACTGCTCTACCTTTGTCCACCCAGGTAGGTGTTTCATTGTAGAAGGCAATGAGGTTGGTCAGGCATGATTTATCTTATCCATGCTGACCATTCCTGATCACCTTCTTGTCCTTCCATGTCGGGAAGAAGGGGCCTTCAGCATGAGGTACTCCATCACCTTTCCAGGGATTGGAGTGATTCTGACAGGTCCATAGTTCCCTGGCTCCCCGTCCTTGCCCTTTCTGAAGACCAGAATGACATTTGCTTTCTTCCAGCCCCCAGGCACCTCTCCATGACATTTCAAAGATAATGGGGAATGGCCTCACTCTGGTGTCTACCTCAGCACTCACAGTCTCATCCTGTCAGGGCCTGAGGACTTGTGGATGTCAAGTTTGCCCAGGCATTCACTAACCCAATCCTCCTTGAAAGGAAAGTCTTGCTAAGGGACAGTCTTCCTTCCAACATTCCTTTAGCCTGGTCTCCTGGGCCAGAGATCCCTGAGGGCACGAACTCTGCCTTCTCTGCATCCTCTGTTATCAGGGTCTCCCCTCCATTTAGGAACAGACAAAGACACATCATCCTTGGTTTTCCTTTTGTTACTGATGTATTTAAAAAAGCCCTTCTTGATGCCATTGACATCGTTGCCCAGATTTAATTCCAAGGTGGTCCTTGGTCTTTGTCTCATTTCTCCTTACTCCAACAATGTCTCTATATTAATTCCAAGTGGCCCGAGCCTGCTTCCATCTCCTGTGTACTTCCTACTTGCACTTAAGGAATGACAGTTCTTTGCTCATCCACTCAGGTCTCTTGTCCCCTTTTCCCAGTTTCTTGCTCACTAGAATGCATTGTTGAGTCTGGAGGAAGTGATCCTTGAATATCAGCTTGGATCCCTTTACCCTGCAGGGCCTGTTCCCATGTGCTACTTTTTTTGTCTACATTTGTTTCCACTGGAATCCTTGCTTCTGTGCCTTGTGGTTTTGGCATGCTTTTTGCCTGAAATCATTTCTCCTTTGTTGCTCTCCCTCTTGCCCACTCTGCTGCCTCAGGAGCAGCCCTGTCCCTGAGGCTCTGTGCATCCATCTTCCAGATCCGGGCCCTGCAGGACGCAGTGCTGCAGATGGAGGCTTCCCAGGCAACTCGAGAGAAGCAGCTGCTGAAGGAGCTGGAGGAGTCTCGAGCAGGAGAACGCTGCTTGAGGGACTCTGTGCATGTGCTGGAGGCTGAGGTGTCTGAGCTGCGTGTGAAGCTCCAGAGCTCTGAGAACAGAGCAGAGGCCTTGGCCACACAGTGTCAGGAGGCCAGTGGTGCCCACCAGGAAACTCAATCCCAGCTGGACAAACTGCTCTTGGTTCTCCACCACATGATCAGGGACAGCAGAGAGCTGGTCACTTGGAGCTCAGGCAAGTGTGGGAGGCTGGGTGAGCAGGTGGAGGGAGGGAGTGAGGGGGTGTTCCAGGTGTCACCCTGGTATCACACATTCACCCTGTCAGTTTAGGCTGACTCAGGCCTTGGGAAGTCTTGACAGCTTGACTTCCCTTGGCAAGGGCCAAGTCCATGTCAAGCCCAGGGCCCATGCAGTTGTATCTGGGGCAGTGTTGACATTAGTGGTCATCAGAATAATGACAGCCTGTGACACACATCCTGCTGCAAGGCAAGCTCTAAGACAATGACAAAGGCACTTCCTCCTAGGTAAAGAGGCCTTGTTTGTTGGAAACTACTGGATTAAATCTTGAAACAGAATGTCTTCTCTTTCCAGAAGAGGGTCATGTCATGGGCCTAATTGCTCCTCAGGCTGGGGATGTCCCCACAGAGCTTACAGTGGACAGAGTGGCAGCAGCACTGCAAGACCTGCAGCAGCACTTGGAGCATTCCCAGAAAGATCTGGTAATGTGTGCCCAGGGCACCCAGAAATCCTGTCTTGCTGTTGGGCTGCTGGACAAGCACTGTGCCAAGGCCAGGATGGGTGTCAGTCCTTGTAGAGGGGGTGGCTCAGTGGCATGGGGAGGAAGGAGGATCACAATCACATCTACCAGTAGAGTCCAGCTGCTCTCTCCCACATGGGCTGTTTCTGCTTTAGTGTTTGTAGCCCTTTGTCTCCTGCCAGCAGTGACAATGACAGGTGATTGTGCTCCACTTATGTCTTTCAGAATGATGCAAGGAAGAAGATACAGACCTTGGAGCTGGAGCTGGGCACAGCACAGGATCAGATGGAAAATCTCAGAGCCAGCAATCAGGAGCTGCAGATACAGCTGGAAGAAAGTCAGGCAGGTACAGCTTCTCCTCTCCCACCCACTGGCCCATCCTGTCTCTCCAGTGGGGTTCTTTGATGCCACACAGAGAAAAAAGGCAGTGCCCAGAGACGGCAGAGGGGAAAAACAACCAGCCGAGATTTATCCATCCAAGTGCCAGTGAAAGCTTTCTCTTGAGAAAGATGCTGTGGCTGGCAGTGCCATCTGGCTGTGCTGGGGCTGATCCCGTGCACAGCTGGTGCCTTTCAGGTGCCGTGTCTGTGCTGAGGAGCTGTAGCTGGATGCCTCAGCTCCATTGCCCCAATCTCCAGGCCCTGCCAGAGCCTCCAGGTTATTGGCTCTCTGGAGCAGCGCTGCACAGGCATCCCCTCTCCTTTGTCTCTCTTGGGTTGCTCACTCTGCACAAGGCCAAGAGCAAACACACGTTCCTATCCCTCTCAACCTTGCCCCTTTCATTCCTGCTTTTTTTCTCTGGTGGGAAGTTGCCTTCATTTCTGTCAGCTTTGGAGCCTTTGTGGTGTAGGGCCTGGTAAACACAGGCAGGTAGAGAAGACAGTGCTGTTGTCTCTGCAGGATACACATCAGTTTAACTTTGCTTTGCTTGTCCTCTTCTTCTCCTTCCCTGCTGCAGCAATGTTGAGGGCAGAACACCAGAAGACCTCTCTGGAAACTGCCTTGAAGGAAGAGGCCATTGCCCTGAAGGAAGAGGCTGTGACTCTTCATCAGGAGGTGGAATCTCTACAGAGGAAACTGGAAAACCTGGAGAAGGAAAGGAAGGATGTGCTGGTGAGATTGGCAGATGCCACAAAGGGCCATTTCCCAGCTATGTTTGGACCTTGCATTAATAGTTCTAAGGGGCACCTTCTTCCAGTTTAACTTTTCTAATTGCATTCTTCTAAATAAGGAGGGAAAGGTGTTGTAGTCATGTCAAAGCCTCATGCTGAGGCTGCTGATTTTCCTCCATGCTGGGCTTCTGTACCCAAGAAGCTTTACTTCTCAATGTCCTCACTGTCTCTGTTGACATTGCATGGTTTGGGGAATTCCTGGTGTCCAAACCCATGTTTGGATTTCTAAATATCTGGAAGGGGAGGGGAGAGTCCCAAGTTTGCTGTTCACAGAAAGAAAGGTGTTTAGCCTTGGCCATCTGAGAGCAGCCAGTGGGGAGAGAAGAGAGGAAAGCCAAGTGCTGATCCACACCAGCTGCAGGCAGATAAAGAAAAACTAGAGCATGAAATAAAACTTCTGGAGGAATCAGTCACAGTCTCTGAAATGCAAGCAAATACAGCAATAGACAAGAATCATTCCCTTGAACAAGAACTCCAAACTGCTCTGTCCATGTTAAAAATTAAAAATGAGGAAGTGCAAAACCAGGGGAAGAAAATGGAGATTCTTCAGAAAGAGGCAGCAGAGACCAAAGCTTTGCAGGAGCAGCTCACTCGTGTGACTGCCATCCTGTCAGAGAGGGAGGGAGAAATGAAGTTGTACCAAGAGCAGATGAGAATGTTGGAAAAGCAGAAAGAAATGCATAAAACTGCTCTTAATCAGGTTATTAAGGACATAACAGAGAAAGAACAGAAGACAGAATCCCAGCAGGAACAGATACAGGAGCTGGAGAAGCAGCAAGAAAAGCAAAGGATCGTTTTTAACAAAATGAGCCAAGAGCTGGAAGAGAAGGACCACGAGATCAGATCCCAGCAAGAACTGATAAGGGAGCTGGAGAAGCAGTTAGAATTGCAGAACTCTACTGTCAGCAGGGTGAGCAAAGAGCTGGAGGAGAGACACCTGGAGATCAAATTCCAGGAGGAAAAAATAATGATTCTAGAACAGCATGGTGCAGTACAAGTCAGAAATCTGCTTGTGGATCTTGATGATATGAAAGGGAACCTGAAGGAGAAAAGGTTGGAGCTTCTTTCTCTGACTCAGCAGATTCAAGAACTGGAAAAGGAGAGAGAAGATGTGAAATCTCTAAATGCTAGCCTTGAACACCTGAAAACTGTTCTTAAGGACAGAGAGAGTGAGTGTGACGCTCAAAGGGAAGAGTTAAGGCTCTTGCAGCAGCACAAGGAACAGCAAGATAGGCATCTGCAAGAGCTTCTTGGTAAAGTAGAAATCATGACACTTTCTTTATCTAAAAAAGATCAAGAGCTTGAGTCGCAACAAAAGCAAATGCAGGAAGTTGAAGAAGTCATGGAAATGCAGTTAAAAACTACTCGTGACCAACTGGAGCAAACCTTAGCAACCTTAAAAGAAAAAGACAGACTTATGGACATCCAAAAGCAACAAACAAGGAGCTATGAGGAAAAAAAAGAGGAACAGATTAATGTCTTGCACAGAGACTTAGAATACTCTAGGACAGTATTGAAAGAAAAAGATTTAATGATTGAATCTCAGAAGGAACTGATTGAGACCTTCCAAAAACAAAAGCAAGACTCTGAACAGCAGAAGCAAATTCTGCAGTGTCTTCAAATGGAACTAAAGGAAAAAGAGGAGGAAATTTTTTCCCTTAGAAAGCAATGTGAGGCATTTAAGGAAAAAGAGGAAAAGCATGAAGCTGAGCAAAGAAATTTCCATGCAACAACACTGACTCTGAAAGAAAAAGAAGACAAGATTTGTGTTCTGGAGGATGCCATCACAAAGTTTCAACAGCAGAAGGAAGAAACAGCAGTACAGACTAAAGCCATACTGCAGAAACTAGAACATGCTGAATCTTCGCTTGAAGCTAGAGATCAAGAGATAGTGTCTTTGCAAGAGCATGTCCAGGACCTTCGAGAGCAGAAGGAGGTGGCAGGCAAGCAGGTCAGAAGTCTAGAGCAGGATCTAGACAAAGCAAACCAGATTTTGAATAAGAACCATCTGGAGTTCCTCAAGCAGACAGAGCAAATGAACACGTTCCAGCTTCGTGAAGAAAGCATGAAAGTAGCACTAACATCATGCCAGAAGCAAGTGACTCTACTTGAGGAAGTGGTGAGGAAGAAAGATGAGGACAATGACGCTCTTAGGCAAAAACTCCAGCATGCAGAAGAAGAACTGAAGACTTTGCAGAATCTCCAGCTTAGGCTAACTGAGAAGAATGAAGAGGTTAGACATGATGGAGAGCAAGAGTTCCTGAAAGAAGCTTTCCCTGAGAGAGAAGGAGAGATCAAGGCTCAAAGTGAGCGAAAGCAGTTAGAAGTGGAAATAAGAGCTCTTCAGGAAAATCTCCAGCATGTTCAGCAGACTCTGACAAAGAAGGATAAAGAGATCAAGTACCAGACAGACAGAGTCAAGTATTTAAAGAAGACTCTGATAGAGAGAGAACAAGAGCTTAGGAGGCAGAGTGAACTCCTGAAAGAATTAACATTGGCTTTGCGATGGAAAGATGAAGGGGAAACCCTAAAGATACAAATCCAAAAACTCCAAAAATGGGAGGAAGAGGAAGTAGAGAAAATTCTCCAGGAGAGAGACCACCTCTTGCAAAGGCAGAAGAAAATTACCCAACAGTTAGAAGCTGAGAGGGAAGCCAATGGTGAAGAGTTGGAGTGTGTGGCTGCTGCTTTGAAGCAGAGAGAAAGCAGAGAACGTGAATGGAGAGAGAATGCTCAAGTCCTGAGTGCTGCACTGAGCAAGAGTGAAATGGCCAATGGGAATCTGAAGAAAGAAATAACCATCCTGCAGAGAATGATTTCAGAGAGAGACACAGACAGATTTCATCAACAGGTAGGCACTGGCATTGATCTTCAGTTCACTGCAACATGCCTGAATTATTCCAGTGGTGTTTCCCATGAAGAGGTGGGTCTCTGTCCCTGCCAGTGCAGGCCTGCTTGGGTAAAGCAGCCCGGGCTGCAGCAGGCAGCCTTGTCTGTCTGCCTGGCTCCAGCCAGAGACCATTGACTGCCTGATTGTTTCCTGGCACGCCTGGAATGACCAATCCAGCTCTGGAGCTTGCTGTTCAAATCAGCTCCAGGCCAAAAGCTGGGCACAGGGAGCTGTTTCTCCTGTGCCAGTGCTAGGGGAGGCAACCCATGGGGGTTTGGATTGGGTGTGGGAAGGAATGGAGCAGGTGAGCAGAGTGATGGACTAAACTGAGCTGAGTTTTGTATTGAGAGGCTGAACAGCAGCTGCACTGCTGGTGCTTTGAGGATGCTTCCTGAGATGGAAATTTCTGAGGGACAGCTTTTTCAGTGTGTTAAAAGAATGGGATTTCTTTTATTGCTTGGTCAGATTAAATGCTTCATTATGCATTCAGACATGTTTGTACTGCAAAAAATCCAAAAATCACGAAGGCAAACTTGTGTGTATTTTTCCAAAGTGAACTTATTCAGGTCCTGCTAGTGGAACAGTTGCAATAGCCTGTGATACAACTGTGCCAAGAATTTGCCTATATTCTAGTGTTCATTAGTATATTGGCATGTAAAAAGTGCTACTAAGAAAACACTGTATTTATGCATTATACATTTACTTATGACTTGAGAAATATTACTTGAAGCCTGATCTGGGATGCTGACAAGTATTGACATCTGTTGATGGGAAGTAAAGATGTGACAAGGGCAAGAAATGTGAAAAGAACATGAGATTTCAGTTACATCCATGTAGGTCAGGTATGCAAGAACATTCAGTCAGGTAATGCAGTGGCATCCACACAGACTGGTTTACTGCTGATACCAAGACTGCATTTATAGGTGCTCCAAGGAGCAGTTAATGGAGAAAGGCACAAAGGAGGAGGTGGCTCCTGGCTAAGTTCCAAGCAATGCTTATGGCCTGATTGATAACATGGTATTTTCAAAGAGCAGTTCTGTTTGCAGATACAGGTAACAGGTAAAGAGGATAGAGAAAAAAACTGTAGTGTTTTATCATTGCAGAAATGCATGCTTCACCCACATCTTGCACATTTGGTTGTCTGAGGACAGAGAATAGAACTGTGGGTAAGAGAATTTACAGTGATGATCAAAGAGGATGACCCAAGTTGTTAATTAACTTCCCCAAGGGGAGTAAACATTTAAGTATTTACAACTGACAAGAAATTGCTGAGAGAGAGAGAGGTGGAGACACTACAGAGCTTTGTAAAACCATGAAGTGGCTGGATAGGAAATTAATGCTTCCAGTCTCTGAAATCCAGAATGGGGAACACTGAAAAAACTAGCAGGAAGCAGATACAGAACAAAGTACTCAATTCTCCAGGGGGATTTGGAGGAGGGTGCCTAGAGAGAGGGTGTGTTGTTTTGGCCAGTGGACAAGGAGAAGAAGGGCCTTAGCACTGTCCATTTCTGCTGTGGTCACTCTCCCCAGTGTATTGATTCTGACACTCTTCTAACCCTTATGTGGCACCAGCTCATGGAATCTCCTCTCTGAATGCCCAGCAGGCTGTTGCTGAAGGGGAGCAGCTGTCATGGCTGTCAGAGAAGAGACTCATGTTGCAGAGCCTGGAATGTTTGCAGCGAGCAGTTGCAAAGCTGGAAGATGAAAAGGTGGAGCTCAGGCAACAAAACACTGAACTCAGGAGGACTCTCGAGCAGGTAAATTGGGCTTTCGCTGCCTCTGCAGAGCCTCAGGCTCCTCTGGAACATGGCACGTTAGCCCAGGCAGCGCTTTGGAGACCTCTGCTTGTTCCCTTGCCTCTCCCTGTCCTGCTGTGGCACATCCCTTTGTTTCTTCTCTCTCTTGTGGCAGCCCATGGCTTTCACAAGGGCACCTTCACTCCACTGCCTCCCTCCCTGGCCCCGTGTCCCTGCACACACACACTGGCCTCTCTTGCACAGCCCCCAGCGAGAGCTTTTTGCCCCCAGTGTTGTCTGGTGCAGTTCAGGGTCTCAGAGTAGGGATGTCCTTGCCTTGATGTCCAGAGGTCCTTTTGCTCTGTGTTTGCTGACAGGTTTCTGTGACCCTCTCTCCCATCCAATCTGCAGGTGGAACATGAACGGAGGAGACTGAAGAGATGTTTTAGGGGTCGGTTACTCCCAGATGCCTCTGGAATTTCTCTCTCCGAGTCTGACCAGTGCAAGTTGCCTGCTTCCAGACAGGTGAGAACAACATTTTCCATGGTACGAGGAGGTTTTGGTCATACAGAGGAATGATGGGAAATCCCAGTGGCAGCAGCCCTTCAGCAGAGACCTAATAGAAGTTGAATATTGCCTGTGGCTGTGACCAAACAGAATGAAATAACACCCTTTTATTTTCTTCACAGGAGGAGTCTCATGCTCACTGCAGTCAGCGCTTAGCTGAGTTACAGAACCAGGTAAGGAGTAGGAAAACTTTCATCCAAAGGCTGCTGTGGCTGTATTCATGTGCACAGCTATGCATGCTGTTACAGCCTGAGGTGTGTTTGGCTCTCAGGAAGTGAGTACTGCAGGTGTTGTCAGTTATGCCCCTGTTGGCAACAAGCAAACGTCCTTTACCTTGGTCTTATCTGTGACCTGTCTAAGATCAGGCAGTGGGGGAGAGAGATGGGATGAAATTCAGAACATTGGAAGTCACCTGAAAATATTAGAATCATAGAATCATAAAATGCTTAAGGTTGGAAAAGCCCTCTCAGATAATCTAATCCAACTATTAAACCAGCATTGTCAATCCCAGCACTAAACCATGGCCACATGTTTTCTGAACACTTCCAGGGACAGCGATTCCACTACTTCCCTGGGCAGTCTGTACCAGGATGTTCTCTTTTGATGCCTGTTTCCATTTTCCCTTGACTCTGTAACAGTGGAGCTTGCATTATAGCAGAAATCCAGGGACCTGAGGCAATACCAGAGGCTCATTATTCCACTGGGCTTAGTTGTCCACATTGTGCTCTGCTCCTGTGTAGAGTGCTCTGAAGTTTGGGAGAGTTTGCTCTCTGTCCCTCAGCTGCCTGTCCAGCAGCTCAAGTAGAAGAGTCCTCCAGAAGCTCAGGGGAGCAGCAGCTCTCCTGCTGATGCACAGCCTGTGGAGACAGGGGTTGGTGGCCCAAATGTGTGCTTTAGAAAGCAGAGTTGGATTCTAAATCCCATTGGAAGTCTCTCTGATAGACCTGTGGTGGCTGAGGGGTTGATGTGGGAAGGGTTTGCCAGCCTTGAACTGGACTTGTTTATCTTCTGAGCTCTCTTGTGTCTGGGAGCCTGTTCCTTTCCCCTTGCCCAAGGGCAGAGTGTTGCTGAGGGCTGGAGTTGGAGGCTGTGTGTGCCCCAAGAGCTGGTACCGTGGGGCTGCAGGTGCTCCTGGCAGCGTGGGCTTGTCTGAGCCGGGCCTTGTGCCTCTTTCAGGTGTCCCTGCTGCAGTCACAGCTGGCCCAAGACCGAGAGCACCGGCAGAATTACATTGAGAGCTGTGCAAGGACCAGCCAGGAGCTGTCAAACCTTCACCAGGAGCTGTCCTGCTCCTTTGCAGCTGTGCTCAAGGAGCCCAAAGCTGCTGTTCTGGAAGAAGAGACTCGGAAGCTGGATCGGTCTCTGAACCTTAACTCGGCACTGACATCCCTGAGCCATCAGTCTCTGGAGAGACAGCCTGAGCATCCAAGAGCCAGACCTGCCAGAAGCAATGATGACCTGAGGTAACAGCACCTCTGGTCTCCATTTGAATGGAATAATTTCTCCTAAGACAAAGAGCTCATGGATGTGAGAAATGGGATCAGCTCCTCAGGGCAGGGCTACTCCCTGCCTTAAACATCTGTTGGTCTCACATTCATCTGGTGTCAAACCTCACCTTATGTTGAGGATTAGGATCTATGAAACGTTTTTTCAATGAAGTAGATGATTTTTGGAACCAAAATGTGAATATGTGAGAACAACAACATAGGTAAGGAGAGAGAATGATGTATGGAGAATGAAGCCCTAACACAAAATGAATAATCCTTGAACAGTAAGACTTGTGGGTGACATCTGTCCGAGGACAGCTACTTAAAATAAAAGGACACAAAGAGTGCGCTACAAAGAATTAAAGGAACATAACAGTTTGTGTTGTTTGCATTTGCAAGCATCTCCTAGGGACAGGCATTTTAATTTTAATAAAACGTTTTTCAGAAGAAAATTATACTCATTTTTACTGGTACAGTGAGGCTACTGCAAGCTCTTACACAATTTCCGTTTTTGAGGGCAGAGGTGTTCCCTGCAACAAGTAATGGGAATGTGAGGTGTTATTAAACAAAGGGGTGAAGAGTGAAAGTAGGGATCAAAGCTCAGCGTGAAATGGGGCTGCCCTTCCTTCTCCCTTTTCTTCCCTTTTTCCCTCCAAAGCACTGGTGGCTTTGCCCCACCAGCCAGCCTGAGGGACAGCTCAGCTGCTCTCCACAGGCTGTCAGTGCCCAGCTCCAGCCCTGCCACAGCCTGAGGCCACGGACACGTGGGGAGGGTGTCCTGGTGAATCGTTAAAGCCAAAAATCACAGACAAAGACTCTCTAACTTGTCAAAGTTAGAAAGTGGTATGTTTATTACGCCAGCGGGTGGCACCGTGGGGATCGTGCCCGAAATGCGTGACCGTGCTGCTATCCTGAATAAGGATTTTTGCCTTCCATTTATTTCCCAAAATAATACCTATGCATAACCCCAGCACCTCCCATCCCCACTTGGTATTAAAATGAGTTTATTGGTCTTTTACATGTGCGCAGTTCTTCTCTCAAATTGGGTCAGTGGTCTCAAATGGGGTCAGTGGTTCCAAGGATGAAGTCAGGAATGTCTTCGTCAGGTCTCTGTGACCCTCTGGCACAATCCAAGCCCCCCTGCCTCATGATGGATTAACATAGAGTCCAGGTGCTGGGCATTGTTCTACTGGTTTCAATAGGTTCCTATAATAGCTTGCTTGCTCCGCTTCCTTCTATAAATTAGCTCATTGTGGCCGCTGCTCTCTTCACAGAGAGCAGCAGGCACAAATTCCCATGGATTTTTCCTGGGGAAGGCAGTGAAAACCTCAGAGAAGAAGAGAAAATAATTCTTACTGCTATTCACTGCTCCTGCTGTTTTTGCACATGTGGAATGTGTTACGGAGATTGTTTACCAAAAGTGATTTGGTTAATTGGACACAGGTGAAAGTTATTTTGAGTGATTAGCCAATCACTCAAAGCTGTGTCCTGGCTGTCTCAGACAGTCATGGGTTTTTCTTTAGTAGTATAGCATAGAATAGTATAGAATAGTATAGCATAGTATAGCATAGTATAGTATAGTATCTTTTTAGTATGTAATTTAATATAGTATTAGTGTAATGTAGTATAGCTTAATAAAGCAATTGTTCAGCATTCTGAATCATGGAGTCAGAGCATGTTACTCCCTGCCAGGGGGTCGCCTTTCTACGATAGCTCATAATATAACAATTAGCTTTAGCTTAAGCATCTAATAATCATTAACTTGTCGTTGGTGTATCTAAATTCAATATGAATTGGTTCTAACCCTCAGGTAAAATCTTAACCCTTTTAAAATCATGATTCACTGGGCAGGGGGAGCTGCTCTCCACCAGTGGCTGAGTCCTCTCCTTCCTGTGCTGCCCACACTGCTGGGAATGCAGCCCAGGACATGGGTACTTCCTGGGCCAGTGCAGGGAGAGGTGTCCTCTGATTCTTATCCTGTCAGAGTCTTATCCAGGAGGAAGAACCCTGCTCATCATGTGGACATGGAAGCCAAGTGTCTGTGTACACCCTGGTGTGCCCCTGGAGTGTGTGACCCCATCAGAGGGGAAGCAGCATCACCTGCATCACTGTGGTCATACTCCTATTGCCAGGCAGCCCCCACAGCGGCATCCCCGTGGCAATGGCCTGATGCCCCTGGGCCTGTATAACTGTATCCCCATGTCCCTGTCCCATAGCCATGGTCCCCTCACCACCCATGAATGTGTTCCTGCTCCTCTGCATCTGCTATTTCTGAGATAAAAAACCACATTCTTGTGTGTGCAGCAGGGAATCAAAACTGCTGGGCCAAGAGGAGGTGCCAAGGCTTCAGTGCAGGGGGCAGAGCAGAGCGCTGGGCACCAGGCACCGGGCAGCAGCAGCAGCAGCTCCGGGAGTGGGCAGCGTCCCCGCAGTGCCACCATGGCCCTCAGGCAGCCAGAGGCGTGAGTGGGGCTGGGAGTGTCACTGCGGGTTCGGGGGGGACACAGGGCATGGCTGGACACAGGACACAGGGGACACAGGAGTGTCCTGGAGGCCCAGGGGGGCTGTTGGTGGGGCAGGGGGCTCAGGGGTGCTGGGGAGAACTGAAGGGTGACTGAGGGAGGTGAGACTGCAGCAGTCAGGGCTCACAGGGTTCTCCTCTACAGCAGGAGCTGCACCCTACAGTCAGGCAGGGCTGGGCAGCAGAGGGAAGCTCCAGACTCCCTGGAACACAGAGCAGAAGCGCTTGTCAGTCTCCTCACGGATTTCAGGCCCTGTGCATGTGTGTGGCCACGTCCCTGCCTACAGCAGGCAGCTGTGTTTGTCCTGGTGCCAGGGCAATGAGCCCCTCCAGCTCATCCTGCCATGTGGAGCCAGGCTCTGGTGCACCTTTGAGGGAAACTTCCACCTTCTCCTGCTGATTCTGTTGGCATATTTGGATGAGCTTGGGTTTCTCTGGTTGGGGAATGCACACACTGTCCTCCTCCTCCTCCAGCTTGTACTGTACCTTCCCAAGGCAGACTCTCCAGAGCCCAAGGCAGAGGCAGCTGACACAGCCCACGAGCCTGCCTAGCCCAAGGAGACTGATTTCATCCACTCTCCACTGGCTGCATTTGAAGCACTGGGCCTGACCTTTTCAGTTGGAAGGTTCACTTGTGGGTGGGTCAGCAGTTCTTCCTGATGGCCTAAGGTGTCTATTTGCTGCTGGGGTTTGTCTTCTCTCCCTCAGCCCATCCCATCACAGCCCAGCCTGGCCCAGCACGGCCCCACAGTCTTTCTGTGAGGGTCTCTGTGTCTTCAGAAGGATGGAGAAGAGTGTTGGTCTTCAAAGTACCTTGCTCTTCTCACAAGTACCGCATGGCATCTCTTTGCTGCTCTCCTGCCTCCTTCATACTCTGAGAACTGTCTCTTGCAGCTTCTTGGACCATGTCCATCTTTTAATCTGGACGATCCCTACATGCACCAACTGAACCTGCCATACAACTGTCTGCATGACCCCCACCTTCGGGACTACCACAAGCGCAAGGACA